GAAGCCTTTGACAGGTTGAAACGGGCTGTGACCGAGGAGCCGGTCTTGGCCTTGCCAGACCATGCCAAACCGTATGAGATGCATACGGATGCATCAGACTTTGCCATAGGGGGCGTGTTGATGCAAGAGGGACGTCCAGTCGCGTTTGAGAGCAGGAAGCTGAACGAGACTGAACGCAAGTACACGGTCCAAGAGAAGGAGATGACTGCAGTGGTGCACTGCTTGCGCATTTGACGCCATTACCTGTTGGGGTCGAGGTTCGTGGTGAGGACGGACAATGTGGCGACCAGCTACTTCCAGACGCAGAAGAAGCTGTCCCCCAAGCAGGCGAGATGGCAAGATTTTCTTACGAAATTTGATTTTCAGATGGAGTACAAGACGGGACGGGCAAACCTAGTGGCAGACGCCCTGAGCAGGAAGGCTAACCTTGCTGCCATTAGCCAACCAGAGGGGTCACTGTTACCGCGCATCAAGGAGGGACTTGCGCATGATCCTATAGCCAAGGCTTTGATGGAGTACGCCCAGCAAGGTAAGACTAGGCCGTTTTGGTTGCAGGATGGCTTGCTGTAAACCAGGGGCAGTAGACTGTTTGTGTCGCAGCACGGAAAGCTCCGCAAGGAAGTTTTGCAAGAGTGTCATGATTCAAGGTGGGCTGGACACCCAGGAGTGAGTCGCACCTTGGCGCTGATCGAGGACCGATACTACTGGCCGCACATGAGAGACGATGTGGAGGCCTATGTGAAGACTTGTCTTGTGTGCCAACAGGACAAGGTGGAGCTCAAGAAACCAGGGGGTCTCTTGGAGCCATTGCCAGTGCCAGAGCGACCATGGGTGAGTGTTTCTCTGGACTTTATAGTCGGTCTACCCAAAGCAGAGGGGTTTGGAAGCATCATGGTAGTGGTGGACAGGTTTTCCAAGTATGGAATTTTCATTCCAGCAACCAAGGAGTGCCCAGCCGAGGAGGCAGCTCGATTGTTCCTGAAGAACATGGTGAAGTACTGAGGAGTGCCGAGGACCATTGTTAGTGATCGAGACGGGCGTTTCACGGGCAAGTTCTGGACTGAGTTGTTCAAGCTGTTGGGGTCAGACTTGAACTTTTTCACCAGCATGCATCCGCAGACCGATGGGCAGACAGAACGTGTGAACGGACTATTGGAGGTATACCTCAGGCACTATGTGAGTGCCACGCAAAGGGACTGGCCAAAGCTACTGGATATTGCGCAGTTTTCCTACAACTTGCAAAGGAGCGAGGCAACGAACCAGAGCCCATTTGAGGTTGTGACAGGGTAACAACCACTAACACCCGGTTCGATTGCTGCAGGTTATACAGGGTCGAATCCAGCAGCATACAAGTTTGCCAAGGCATGGCAGGAGTAAACTGACTTTGCCAGAGTTTGTCTACACAAGACGGCCAAGAGGTCGAAAAAGTGGGCAGACCAGAAGAGGTGGGATGTGCAGTTCTAGGTTGGAGACTTGGTGTTGGTGAAGCTGCATCCCATTGTGCGCCATAGGGGGCTGCACAAAGGCCTAGTCCGGAGGTATGAGGGACCTTTTCGAGTAGTCAAGAGGGTAGGCAAGGTTGCCTACAAGCTGGATATGCCACCCAAGCCGAGAGTACACCCGGTGTTCCATGTGAGCATGCTCAAGCCGTTCCATGAGGATGATGGAGATCCAAGACGGGCAGAGTCAAAGCGTGCGCCATTGGGAGCAAGGGCCTCATATGAGAAAGAGGTCCACAGCATTATAGCTGACTGGGAGGTGAGACGGAAGAATTATCAGCCAAGACAATAGTACTTGGTGTGCTGGAAGGGACTTCTAGACAGTGAGGCGAGCTGGGAACCAGCAGAGGACTTATGGCAGTTCGGGGACCAGATCAGGCAGTACCATGCAAAAGACGCAACGAGGGCATTGCGCAATCAGGTGGGGGAGAATGTCACGCTCTGGGCGGGCGCGCCAGGCACATCAAGCAGACCAGCAGGCGAGCCAGAGGCTGAGGCCCGCAGACCAGGCGTGCTGGCGGGTATCAGTGCGCAAAGCCTAGCAAACAAGCTCCAAACGCCCTCCCGACTTGCAGGCCAGCCCATGAGACCAAGGCCTGTCATACAAGCTGCCCGCACCACATCCAGAAGGGCCCAAGGTGCTGGATACGCAAGGGAAGCTTCTGGAACCAGGCAGGATCAGCATCCTGGCAGATTTGGTTGACCCTGAAAATTAGGAGCCAGCATCTTGATTGATTGTAATCCCATGATTTTAGCCTTTATTCTAGGGATTTGCCATTAAGTTGTAGCTGGAGCCTCAACTATAAATAGAGGGCTGCTCCACCCTCATTTGTACACCATCAAACACTTCTGTTTCAGTGAATACAAGAGCATTTCCAGAATTATGTTTTCCTGTCCTGTTTCTCTTTAACTTGCGTAATCAGCCCTTCCCATTGTTCTAGTGCCCGCACGCTTGTGTTTTAGGCTGACTTAGGCATAAAGGAGGAGATTCCAAGCCTAAGGCCGCACGGATTTTGAGTCTAAGATTAGAGCCCGTGACAATTGGTATCAGAGCAAGTTCGATTCTGCGTGTTTGTGTTGTGCAGGTTAGATCGTGATTGAGGAGATGGCATCCCAAAGCGACGTTGCTAGCCAACAATCAGAGGCCCAGGAGCATGGGCGAGGAAGAGGCAAGAAAGCTGGTTCTAGAGATTCTGAAATCATTAAATGCGATTCATATCTATTTAATAGATTTTTTTCAAGCATTATGTAAATATTTTATCAATTATCAATTATCTCAATCGGGTCACCACTTCTTGATCTCATATATAAAATAATTAAAAAAACATATATGAGAGAAAACTCGACTACACTCTAAACTTTTCTTCCATTGAAGCTTCCTCCATACATTTCACTGTTTTTATTTCTTTCCTTCCTTTCTTGTCTAAAATACAATATTAATTTAAACGTCGAAACGTATTTCAAAATAACAACTCTAATGCTTTTGTCTATGTTCTTTGGCAGCAAGTTTTAGTTGTATTCCCTCTAATCTCACTTCACGTCCTTCTAATTAAGATAACCCAAAAACACGATGAACAAACACAAAGCTGGGAAACTCGTTTGCTAAACATATAATCTCTTATGCCATCAAACTTTCTATATTTTTATTGGAAATTAATTCAACATTTCCATCAGGTTGGTTCAGAATGCGTAAATTACTATAATTTATAACCATTCGTACATGTACAAAATATAAGGATTAAGGTTAAATTTGTTTAGTTTTATGACTGTAATTCAATTTTATGGACTTTGGCCATCTACTTTATTTTTGTTGATTTTTGGACAAAAAAGTAATGGATTTCAATGAAATTTACCCTTTGTCGTAAGGGAAAATTTTGTTTCTTCAATGAAGATGTTTAGGAAATGACACAATAACTTTATTTTACGACGCATGGCACAAAAAACAAAAAGAAAACATTAAACTTCTGGCATAAATATAATGCAAGAATTCCGGGTGTTAAGATCAAACTCAATGCTGTTAGCAACTTTCAATCCGATAACAGATTTAAGCAAACTCAATAACAGCAATATTTATTTTCAGACATATTCCAAGAAAGGGAATTTTATTTTCCCGTGCATACTTTGCTGCAAGATTTTTCCCTTGCACCCATCTGTCACTAAATCCTCCAGGAACAAGAACACCATCTGCACTCTGAAGATAGAAGCCAGTTAGAGGACTATCAGAGACCATTCGAAGCAAAGAACGTTAACCAGTCATTCCAAGGCAATAAACAACTAAAAAATACAGAACTTTAACAACTTGCGTGCAGCTTTATAAGCATCAAGGTTGATCTGTCAACGAAATATTTTCATCAAGAAGTAAAGAGCAATACATAATATGTTAAAAGGATTTTAAAACCAATTTGACATCTATTTCAGTCATGTGTTCGAGGTCACTAGCAGGAAACCAGTGCACAACAAGTGAAGGAACATATTATTATACTTCACAATGAAATCACTTACTCTCTGTCTCAGTAGCAAAGGAATGTGAACGTTGGGAACATCATAAAGAGAGATAGTATCTTTTGTCTAGAGCAAGTATTTTCAATTAACTACATTTTTTCAACCACATAAATGAACATTCAACACATACACAAATGAAACCTTTCTCCGTTTAATTATACCAACCGAGACATGGCAAAATTGAGAGAGTTTCTCCTTCACATTGTCATCAAGTACCTGTAAAAGGGGATCCGTATTCAGAACCTAAAGCAAACAGAACAGAGCATCCGTGAGTTTATGTCTAACAGGGTGATAGTGATAGACTTTAAACCCATATCCATAAACCCTAAATTCTAAATCCTAATCCCTATACCTTAGAACCCAACTCATATACACTAACCCCTGCAGCATAAATCATAACCCCAAACCAATGTGGCTGATGATCCTCTTAGACCAGTTACTGATCATCGCTTTAGTAACCAAATGCGAGCATTTTGTCGGCAGATTCCTCCTTTTGTTCCTTAGCCTACAAGCTTGATCTGTTGACCCTATTACTTTTTTGGTAATAGAAGCTTATTTTAGTAATTGTCATATGACCGTAACAAAACACAAACTTTGTTTTCCTTTCTAAGAAGATAGTTTTTGAAAAATCTTATAAATCCAACACAGGTCTAATCAATCAGTTCGGGTTAGATGGGTTAGGGTCACCCGATCTTATATCAAAATATTAATTTTACACCCATTTTAATTATACGGATACTGTGCGTCCAATTCAAAATTAATTCAAAATTTTTAATTTTTAATTTAATAGAATATTTATTAAAATATTATTTTTAATAAAAATATATTTTAATTATATATAAATGTTAATTTTTATTAAAATAAAAAATTTTAAATTAAATTATTAAATAATAATTTTATTAATATAATATAAATAAAAAATAAAAAATATATATTTATATATATGAAGACGGGTCAAAAAAAAAAAGTTTACCTCCCATTTGCCTCTGAATTTTCTTTTTAATTTTTCGCCTAATTGGACTTTGATTTAAAAAAAAAAAAAAATGTACCTACAAAATCGGGTCAAAGTCGGATGTCATACTTACGAGCCGATAAAAGGGGAGGTGGTACCAAACCTTCTCTGTTTTTAAAGCATCGACGGTCGCTTTTCCTCTCCTCTCCTCAAACAAGTGTTTTTCTCTTTTCTCTCGTCTTTTCCTTTCGACGCAGAGCGAAAGGCGGCGACCTTCAACAATCTGTCGCATTCAAAAATCACGCTTTCTCTAAGGTAAATATTTAAAAATATCCAAAAATATTAGATATGATATTCTCCGTTTTGGCTTTTTCCTTTTCTTATTCCTCACTGTTCTTTTCGATCTATACTGTTACTCAACTGTTAGTATACTGGGCGTAAATACTCGTTATTCTTAGATCAGTTTATGTACTGCTACTTAGTTTGCGGAGAAATGAAGTAAAATTCTTTGAAATGATTTTGTCGGCGTTTGATCTGATATATCGTGAACATGTTATTTTTGTGAAATTTAGGCTTGATTCATTCGATATATTGGTGCTTACTGCGTTTGATTGCAAATCGGCGGTGTCGAAATCCTCACTTAGGGTTAGATTCTTCAGATGTGTTGCTTTTGTTTATTTTAAATGATTTTTTTTTGCAGTGCGCAATGGTGTTTTTAAGGGGTGTATCAGCGCTATCTAGGCTGCGGTCTCGTCTTGTAAGTTCAAATGCGACTGTGCATATACGTAATTTTGTTTATATAGGCAGTGTGCGTGATCGCTTATATATTGAATTTATTCATGCTGAAGAACCAACAATCCAGTCTCTGCGACTCTGTTAGATGGCTTCAAACGCAAAGCTCTTCGGATCTTGTAAGCTATTATTCTCTTCTCTCGCTTCTTGTTTTTCATTTATTGTTTATATTGCACTTTGAAGACACACTATTCTCTTAAAAGAAAGAGGAAAATCTTATGTTTGATCAGCAATCATTAAGAATACTTACACCACACACACACACACGCACACGCGTACACACACACACACGTATGGTGCACTATCAATGTAGTTGAGCCCCCGTTTGACAAGACAGGAGACTTCACTTGACACCTGGAAATGACTTTTTTATTTACTTTAATATTTAGTTGTATATTTGAACATGAAAAAAGGTCAATTACTACTTGATTTTCCCATTTGGTCTTTTTAGTTTTCGGTACTCACCTTTAATTATATTCACTAAACAAGTTTTTTTGGTCATTGCAGGATCTTCATTCACAGTTGAAGGAATTGATTCCAGAACAACAGGTTTGTTTTGCTAGTCTCAATGGGGTTCCATTTGTATTTTTAAGATAGCTGTAGATAGAGTTTATAGTTGAGGCACAACTAGTTAATTTATTTCCACTTTTTATTTACATCTCCATCGACAAGTTGTCAAGGGGGTCAGTGTTAAGTTTTAGTCCAATATCATAATTTTACCAAGCTGGCGCATATTCTATATCAGTATGATTCCATCAATGATTACATGGAAGATCATTGCCAATTTGGAATTTTCCTTCACTGAATGGCTTCTCACTTTTTTCCAGGAGCGCCTGAAGAAACTGAAGTCAGAGCATGGAAAAGTGCAACTTGGGAATATTACTGTTGATATGGTAAAACATTTTTTTTCTAGTGTAGCACTAGTGAAAAAGAACATTTATTTTCCATTTGTGTTTCATTTATTAATTTAAAGTTGGAAATTTTATAATTATTAAGTATATCTTTGGGCTTCTGTTTAATTGATTTTTGTACTGTGTTTGAAAGGTACTTGGCGGAATGAGAGGAATGACAGGGCTACTTTGGGAAACCTCATTACTTGACCCAGAGGAGGTATATTTCACTTATGTCCCATAATAAACAGTGATTCACCAGACTTTTATGCACAGATACTGTAATTACTGGAAAATAAATTATCTGATAGTTCTAAAAGGGTGGAGTTCTGTTTTCAGGGAATTCGCTTTAGGGGTTTGTCAATTCCTGAGTGTCAAAAGCTATTACCAGCTGCAAAGCCTGATGGAGAACCTTTACCTGAGGGTCTTTTATGGCTTCTTTTGACTGGAAAGGTGGGCGGTGGTGTATGAGGCTTCTATTAATGACAGGGTATCCTTTTTTAGCCTGTATTGCTTGACAACATACGCATTTCCTCCTTTTATCCTCAGGTGCCGAGCAAAGCTCAGGTTGATGCTTTATCTCAAGAATTGCGTGGCCGTGCTGTTGTTCCAGGTTTGTAGCTTCTGCAAAAAATATTCTTGACTCAAGCAACGCAATTCTTACTTAGATTTCTTTATTTGGTTGCAGATTATGTGTTCAAGGCCATTGATGCTCTACCTGTCTCAGCTCATCCTATGACTCAATTTGGAACTGGTGTTATGGCACTCCAGGTTGGTATATGTTCTGTTCTTATAGTCTCTTTCACATTGATTCTGTTCTGTGGTCAAACTTCTTTTAGGCTTGCATGGTTTAGGGTTTATATATTGCAATTATGCTGTAATCAATCACTTTCCTTTCCTTATTCTCGTTCTCCTCTACTTTATAGATTCTAGAGGAGATAGACTTCTTTATCCTTGCTTTCTCTTTATAACAAACCTCATTTTTAGAAGTATTTCTAGACATAAATATAATGTTTAAAATCTATAGCGGCAATCATGGGCATTAAGAGTGGTGCAACGAACTTTAAACTTGCCTTGTTAAGTTTTTGTATATGTACCTGAACAACTTTGCCTTTCAGGTTCAAAGTGAATTTCAGAAAGCATATGAGAAGGGAATTCCAAAGTCAAAGTAAGGTCCTTCTGAGCAGTTATACTATGATAGCATAAATCAACCTTCTTGTGGTCATGCAACCATTGTGGTATTACATTGCTTTTAGGTATTGGGAGCCGACATATGAAGATGCTCTTAGTTTGATTGCTCGCGTGCCACTAGTAGCTTCATATGTTTATCAAAGGTTAGTGAAGCATATGATACCTTGTCTATAGCATAGATAAGTTGTTGGATGACTTTTGTTTGTGTGCTATAAGTGATGTGCAACAAGAGAGAACGAGGCTGAAAATAGTGAATATAGAGAAATCTTAGGGAAACACGGAGAAACAAAGGAAATAGAGGGGAAAGGAAAGTTGTGAGAAACAAGTGAGTGTAACTATAGATAACGAAGGGAGAGGAGATCTCATACTCAATTTTAATAAACCAAATCTCAATTAAAAATGCGCCCGCCAAGTTTATAGGTCGAGGCCATAAAACCTGAACATAAATTTACAATTCCAAATATCCCTTACCAAAATTACACGTAAGTCTAAAATTGTCCTTCATCAATGTGTTTCTTTAACATTTTTAATTTTGGCTTGGCCAATTAATAAGCATGTCATTTTAATGTTATGAACCAACAGCAGTGAGATGTGGGAGGACTTCTCTGACCACAGCTGCTTTCCTCGTAATGTTTGTTACATAAAATTCTTTTGGAGTTTCTTAAATTATGTTCCCTCGACTTTGTTTTTGAAGGATATATAAAGATGGAAAATTTATTGCTGTGGACAACTCATTGGATTATGGTGGAAATTTTTCACAAATGTTGGGATTCAATTGTCCCCAGATGCAAGAGCTCATGAGGCTTTATATCACAATTCACAGGTTTGTTTATGTTATTCTCCCATAGAGTATATGAGTTATGGGATACGTATTTTGAGTTGTGTATTTTACTTATATTTTTACCTATATGGTATTTTCTTCTAAACGTCTTTGTTTCGGCCAAATCATATGTATCACTTTAATGACGTTTTCAATAATGTGCTCCAGTGATCATGAAGGTGGAAATGTTAGCGCCCATACTGGCCACTTGGTAAGTTACTATGGTTCCTCGTATGAGGATTTTAAGTTGCTACTAATTTTTATGTTACTATGGCTTTCAAGTCCTCAAACATGTTGATAGTTCTTCCAACTTATGCTTATCTGACCAATGCTTCTTTCATATTCATGGTCTAAATTCAGGTGGGCAGTGCTCTTTCAGACCCTTATCTTTGCTTTGCAGCTGCATTGAATGGGTTAGCTGGGCCTCTCCATGGTCTGGCTAATCAGGTATTGGATCTTCCAGACTTGAGTTATCTATAATTATTGTATTTTTATTTTTCTTTAACTAGGTTTTAGCAAATATTATATGTTATTTACACTTTAGAGCAATATGCTAGCTTGCTTCTGAAGCTTATTTGTGCAATGCTTTATTCAATAATATGTAACTAAATTCTGTAAGTTGGATGGGTGTTCAAATGATTGTAATGGTTCTAAATATTCAAGTGAGTTCAAGCCCTGATTGTATCTTGGATGTTTATTGCAGCCAACTATTTGAACCAGGCAGATTAAGTTCTTGATTGATGATTGATAATAGTGATATTGATCATTCATAAACTTCCTACGGTATTGATTATACCAATCCCATTCCAAGATGGGTCCATTATGTCTTCAATCCCATTCCACCATTTTTTATATGCACTAAGAGAAAAAAGGTGCATGATTAGGGCAATGTCCTTCTATGGCCTATAATGGTTTTTGGTTGCCTCTTTGGAATATGGTTTTTCCAAGGAGCTTTCCTTGCAATTACCTGTCGTTACATTACTTTAGAATCATAGAATCAGAGATAGTCTTCCTGCAAATGTTTGTATTTGTGTATCTTGCTACTCCATATGCAGTCATAACTTTATAAACTTATTAATCTTTGCAAAATCACTTTTGCAACTTGGCATCTGCTAATTTCCTGCAGGGAAACAATGAAGGGCTAACATAGATGGTCTCCTGATTTATTGTTTTATTGCTATCGTAATAATCATAACCCATTTAATTGAGTTAATTTACCTTCTCTGCTGTTTCTTGACCTTGTGAATCTGAACATTATGTAGAAGTCTGATTGTCTTCCTTGTTATTTTGATTGTAGGAAGTGTTGCTTTGGATCAAATCTGTGGTAGATGAGTGTGGAGAGAACATATCCAAAGAACAGCTGAAAGACTATGTCTGGAAAACACTTAACGGTGGCAAGGTATTGTCTAAAGATTATTCGAATTTAAGTTTAAGTTTACCTAATAGTTTATGGATATTCTTCTGCCTCAAATGTTTATTACAGAACCTGCCAATCTGGCTACATTTTAACTCTTGGAAGATGTGTAAATTGTCATTCCTGCTTCATGATAGTCTTTCTTTTGTGCTTCATATGATCTCCTTACTGTTATTGGACTGGGAAGGAAAGAGATACAGTGCTTTTAGAATGTTATGGTAGCTTTTGAAAATTCTATTTGTTTGTGGTCTTTTGATGCCTTTCTTTGAAGTTGTTTACTAAAATGCACTATACCTTTTGAGATACTTGGTTTTTGACTTAAGCAAAAAAGGGGTTTTAACATCCTTTGGATAATCACTATCATAATTTGTCTTTTCAATTCTTATGAGAAGCTTGATTACATTAATGTTTATTGTTGTTGTCTTAATTCAATGTACTTTTCTATTTGCAGGTTGTCCCAGGATTTGGTCATGGAGTGTTGCGCAAAACTGATCCAAGATACACGTGTCAAAGGGAGTTTGCTTTAAAGCACTTACCCGAAGATCCTCTGTTCCAGCTGGTTCTCACTCATGCCTTGACGACAGAATGTTAATGAGTGCCATTTGTTACTGTTTACACTCCTGTCTTATTGCTAAGGTGACATGATTTTCATCCTTGCAGGTTTCTAAGCTTTATGAAGTGGTGCCTCCTATTCTTACTGAGTTAGGCAAGGTAATTTTCTGACTTACATTCTTTTACCAAAGGATGTTTCAAAGAATTTGCATATGTCGCATGTTCTAATACATCACAAAGGAACAACCTTGAATGCAGTGGTAAAGCTCAGAAGACCATGTAAAGTAGTTTAATGTTTTTATTGATATAATCTGGAATCCTCACTAGCTTCCTTTGTTGATATTTGGTTGAAATGAATGGTAAATTAGGATAAGGTAATAAACCCTGGTCTCAAGGATGTTGTCTTTTAAACTTATGATTTTGAACAATTGTTATTTTTGAACTTTGATTAAATTGCATCGCCTCCCAAGTTTTCTATTTTTCGTTGAATAGTAGGATATTATTTGCTGGCTCAACTGAAACTTCAAACTGATTATTATTAGCTCAACTGATATGATGCTGAAATGGAATTTAATGCCTGCATTTGGACTTTGGGGATGCTTGTAGGTTAAAAACCCATGGCCCAATGTTGATGCACACAGTGGGGTGCTGCTGAACCATTTTGGTTTAACTGAAGCACGGTAACATATGATGCTTTTCTTTCAAATATTATGAACACATCCTTTTTTTTTTTGGAAGCATGAACAGTTGTTTGTGACCTAGTAATTCTTCATTTCTCAATAGATTAAAAGTCTTTTTAACTTGATGGGCAGATACTATACCGTTCTTTTTGGTGTATCAAGGAGTATTGGGATTTGCTCTCAGGTTTGTTTTGCTGCGAAATTTGATTTGCTTTGATGTGAACCAACAGGTGTTGCTTGAGTTTACATATATATTCTTTTCTTGGTTCAGCTAATATGGGACCGAGCACTAGGATTGCCCCTCGAAAGGCCAAAAAGTGTTACAACGGATTGGCTTGAAAATTACTGCAACAAAGCAAAAGCAACTTAAAGTTGGTGCCTATAATAATTTCTCACAACACTTGGATTGTGGAATGGTCAATGGCATAAGCTGTTTCGGTTCCTAGCTACTTGCTGGAAGAACAACTCAGTCCGAAATTTTGAATTTCAACTATGTTAATTTGGTCTTTTAATCATGACTTATTTTTTTTGGATAAGCTAGAGTTTCATTATCCAATGAACTACGGAACCTGGCACAAGATGTTCAGTTCTGTTTTAAGAACAGGCCAAAATTTACAGGTAATTACAAATAAAAGAATTAGCAAAAAATATGTCGAATAATTTGCCAATTGTGACAAAGCTTAACATTGACTCGTTCTCGTGTCTGCAATGCTTTGTTAAACTGCGGAAAGAAAGGTGGCTTGCTGCCTATACATTCTGTTGTTTCTATCCCTTCAAGTGTGGTATATAGTTGCATTACAAGCTATACGTAGAAGAACAGCTAACAGTGAAATACCTTCTATCAAGTATGGCAATCGAAGAATTGGAGAATGCCGAGGGATGTGAGAATGGAACCAGATGAGTTTTTCCATATAATTCATACGGTAATGACAGGCCGCCCATACTGCTCGTGCAAGGAATTTTAGGAGCCTATGATTGAAGACAGACATCGCTAAAATTCATGAGCTGCAAAATCTTCCTCCAACTCGAACTAGTATTTTGTGAAAGGGGAACATGCTAGAAGCTTCTTTCCTTTAGTTTATAAGCAAAAGTCCATGTCACCCACAAAGAACCTGCTTTGATAAGAATGAGCCCTCTATGCTTAAAAGTTAAAGCTTGGTTCTATTCTTTCGGGTTTTTCAAACCACTTTGAATGGCAAATAAAATTCCAATAAACGCGAGCATCTTGGGCAGAGCAGTACCTCCCTCATCAAAAAATGAAGTACAAAGCTGAGTCACTCTCTATCACTTTTTCTGGAAGAATAAAATAGCTGCACCAGAAATTTTGCATGCTGAACAATCTGTATTGTATAAGCCGGCATGTGAAAGTAGCATAGCAGTCCAGCTATTTATTCTGTGCGATCTTCTCAACGAGAGGAGTGTATGCAATCTTTATCAATAGAGCCTCTTAGTAATAAGCGGAACACAGATAGGTACATGTTGTGTGCTGTAACGCAAATCAACTAGCAAGATTAATCTGTTTAACAACCAAATACCAATAAACAAAAGTAACAGTTCTGAAGAATCCCACCGTAAGTGAGAATTTGCAATCAAAAGCAGTAAATACCAATAGATCTAATGTTCACGATAGATCAGATCAAACGGCGACAAAATCATTTCAAAGTATTTTGCTTCATTGTCAACTTTTTGTTTTTACAAATCGAGATGAGATGAAATTCTTCAAGCCAAATAACTTATATGAGTATATTCAAACTTTACGTTCCAACTTTGTAAAATATGGTTAGACTTAGTAATAATCGCTATTCAAAAAGTGACCAAAACTATTTGGGCCTATGTATTAAAAATGGAGGTTTATTAGTTTCTTGTTTCCCTTTCAACTATCAACATTAACCTTTTTATCTTATATAACTGTAGTTGAAGGAAGATTAATGATTTTAATGGATTGTTGATTGTTGACAAGTGTCCTTTTTAATTGAGGAATATTAATTATGGGTTTAGTCCTCAATTTGATTGTTGATTTTGGTCTTTAAGGGCCTTTACTATTGGCGGATGGATTAAGTGGGATTTAATATGGATCATGAATTTGGGTCTTCCTTATACATAGTAAAAGTATAGAATCGCATGATCCAACATTTTTAAAAATTTTTTTTTTCTTATTTCTTATTGACATTTTTACTATATATAATGTTACATCTTACTTTTTCGGTTGATGCTGATTTTTTTCTCTTTCATGGTTTTTTTTTCCAGAATTTTGAATTAGTAAACTTTTTTACTAAATATTCTTTAATTACTCAAATTTAAAATATAATGATAAATTTTGCTATAGAATTAAAAACATAATGGTAAAATTAAACCTATTGAAAATTAACAATAAATTTAAACCTTATCCCATAAATAAATAAATCATTTATGAGAATTTAAACAAGACAATCAAAATAATAACTACAAGTCTATAACTATAACTGAAAGAAATATATGAGATGAAAAATCATGTTCAGAAGTGCCTTTGCCTGTCTCCCACACCTCAATCTAAAATCCAACAATTTCAAGTTTGACATTTCATGATATAAATAAATTGATTATAGAAATAACTTGTTCAACCTCATCATATCTATAATTTCATTTTAACAAACACAAAAAAAGCTTTCAGCCCTATCAATTAGAAACAAATAACGTTTAATCCAATAGCCAACCCTACAAAATTGGCCTACCTTCCAACCGCATTATTCACGCCCCTCTTGCTTTCAAATCAACCTGGAGATACCTATGCAGTCACAAAAAACCTTCTACTCATCCCAAAAGCATCTGCTCCTTTGAGGTTACAAGCCTATCGGGTCTCAATAACTTCTTCGACCTTTGGTTTGTTCGTAGGTCGCCCAGATCGTCTCACATCTTTACTTGACAAAAACTCCAATGCTTTTTCTAGGGTGATGTCTTTCGGCTTCATACTCTACAATCATGTTTCAGTCAAGGAATTAGTTTTCTAAAGGTTGGATGCATTGAATGCTACAACATCTAACAGTTTAGAAAAGTTTACCATAATCACCAACTTAGTGACATTGACCCTGTCAAAATAATACAAATTTTTCTCGATATCCTGATATTTTTTTCAGTTTTAACATTGTTTCCAAACTTACCTTAGGAACAGAAGCATTGGTTCGTCGATGGCGAACAGAGAATCCGACCTTGGCAAGCTTCAATATCACAGGGTGCCCATCCTTAGGGTGTTCTCCCTGTCAAGATGTGTGAAAATTTTAAGGACATTTAGCAGCATAAAGAAAACAAAACTCACTTTAAAGGTGGACTAAAGTACCAATGTCAGAGGGTAGCGCAGCAACTCAAGAGCATCGTCAAGGGTGATGGAGTCCACTTTCTTTCTCTGAATGAAAAAATAAGATGGAGATCTGTTTTTACCCATGTTGCCATATATCAAACAATATTTACAGGTGCTACCCAAAAAGAACAAAAGTATTTACAGGTCACTCATAGGCTAAATAAGAGACCTTAATCCATGTAACAACTCTTGTGCACAACTGGCTTCTCCTGTATACTTTCAGTATACTTGATCATACCACCATTTGAACCATTTTCAATTATCTTTTTCATATCAGGAAAAAGGTGATGGTATGAGGAGGGCTATAAATAAAGTTCTATTTAGCTGGTATTACATTCACTGAAAGTGTTTTTGTAGCTGACTTCATGAGCTTTTTCAGGAAACATAAGTCTCCCCAAGTAACTATGAAACAGTGCAAATATCAAAAGGTCTTTTATGTCTATGGAATGCAAAACCAGATATAACCATACATGAGGAACAGATGATCGCTTAGGTAAATAACCCATTCTGTCTTCACCAAGCTGCACGTAGTATCCATAGGGGCCATTCTTTAATAAAACCTGAAGGGGGAATAAAAACGAGAATAGAAGAAGAAACAATTTAGTGTCTACTTATATCAAATGGAAACAGCAAATGAAAATGAAAATAAAGACCCAAATTCTTGTTCAGCGCTACTAAGACCAATATTTGATGCAAACCTTCTCATTGGAACCTGGATGAAGACCTAATAGTTTTGGCTCCTCGACAGAGCCACTCTTTTGAGGACTCTCTTCTTCCTCCTCATCACCACATAACTTCTTAGCAATATACCTATATAAAAAAATTAAAAAAAAACAATGATTCACAACAACTCAGAAAGAGAAGATTACAGTGCTCTTCTTAATCGTCAAACAGATAAATACAACCAAAATTACTGCCACATTACTGCCAACTCTAAGGTGCTAGTGTATAGATTATATACACACACACACACACACACAAGTATATATATGCAAATATGTATCAAAAACTAGTTAGTATTATACTGCTTCACACTTACTTGCACTTTGGATGCTGGTTACACCCTATAAAATAGCCGGCACCAAACCTACTTACTTTGAAAATTAATGTGCCCTCCATGCAACTGAAAAAAGGTTGGACAAGGTTATGATAAGCTTTATCGGAAAGAGTGAACTAATTAAAATAATATATATGTGCAAGCTGAATACACAGTGAGCAATACTGTAACAAATTTATGTCCCATACATGCAAAGATAAAAAAAGAGAAGGCAAACAAAGAAGGAATAATATTCCTGCTTTGCTTAATTGTTAGTTTGAAATGGATTAGCTCTAAACGAATAGAGGATGAAAAGGCTTTGGTTGGAACCCATATCTCACCCATTCACAAAAAGTTAAAATTGAGTTACTTTTATAGTGGGCAACCGCTATTTGCAATAAAACCTACTATTATCACTAAATTTGCATGTATAGCGGGGTAGGTCTGACACCAACAAGACAAATGGGCTGAGGACAATGAATGCATGGCAACAAACAAGAAATAAGATAACAAACGCTGCAACAAATAACCTAGGAAAACATCAACTTAATTAGATACTAATTCCATCCTGTTATGCTAGAAGAGTTAAACAAACATCAACTTAATCAGAGAGAATGAGGTTTCCCCTAGAGCATTTTCTAGCAATTAAAATGATACATGTAACATACTCCTTATTGAGTTATAAAAGGAAACAAAAATCTAACAATTAGATACTAGCCATGCCAAATACTATTGCATTAAGTCGCAAAATAGGGGAAAGAAAGAAAAAAAAAAGGCTGGCAGGATTATGGGAGGATTGATGTCTGCTGCATAAGCATTTCCATCCAAGCTCATTGATGAGGGAAGTGCTGAAATCAAGCTTACAAACTTCAATGGAGGTTGCTAAATAGGTTCAAAGATGGAATAAAGTCAGCCAAACTTGATTAGTAAATTGCCTTAGTTTAATCTATTCTTTTTCACACATACCTAAAATGGTTTTACCTTATTTACATAATACTATTCTTATCCATCCTTTCCATCTCCATAGCTTGTGTAATCCTATTAAGATAATCACCTTTCTCTATTCTTCTAGTAAAAGACTAAAGACAATGAAAAATATCATATTAAACAACAAGTTGGCCTAAAATATCATATTTCCAAGGTTTCAGAGTTCAAACTGAACCATAAAGGACTATTTTTCACCAAGGAGGATTGCAAGAAATTTATCTTAACAAATACTATTTACTCTTCTTCTACATCTTCTTTTCTTTTCATTTATCTTGCATTTTTTGTCAAATGCAATACTTGAAGCCCATGAAAGCAACAAAGAAGTAAAAGAGCATACCTTGGACACGTCCTACTTTTATTAGGGAGAGAAGCAAACAAGAAATCTCCAAATGTCTTTTCCAACATCTTCTCCACCTGAATTAAAACTAACTTTAACAACTAAAAGTTTGAAATGAAAGTATCATAAGATCCAAAAACCTGTGATACTTAGGTAAGAAAGCCTTGGGATACCTGATGAATATGAACACTCTCAACACGACTACAATATGAGCTGAAACGAGTCCAATAGTCCCTAAGGAGCCCCTTCCATTCAGTTAAGCCAGCAGAAACATTGTCAAGCTGAAAATACAAGTCAATAACGCCACTTAAAAAAAGAAATCACATTCCAAAAATTTCAAATCTAACAAATTGAAAAAGCATTATACTATGACCGTCAAGTGCGTTGCAACTTACCTCTGTCTCCATGTCAGCAGTAAAACTGTAATCAGTGACCTCAGAAAAATGGTGCAAGAGAAATGCTGAGACCTAGACATCGCCCCCAAAGTATTAAAGAAGACTAGATTTAATATTCCACTTACAAATCACTAATAATAGTTAATTGTAAGCCCAAAATGTTTTGCAAAATTAATTACTTCCAATTAGTCTATCTTTTTAAGTTCAATAAAGTGTCCCAAAACAAACAACCAATACCATGTACTTGAAGGCTGATTATGCTTTTTACTATAAAATCAAATTTCCCCTTACATTGGCTACATGGACAACTACTTATCACTGATAGCAGCAAGAAACATGTATTGCCATTTTTATTTGAAACATTGATTCCCTATGCATTCCAATATCTACATATTATTATTGTGTAAACAAACATTTTTTAACCTATTATGTTATGCAAAAAGCATTTAGTAAATCAAATATAGCAGGAAGGAGATAATTTACCATGCGTCCGCGAAATTCAGGATATAATACTCGACTTTTTACTGTCACATAGTTTCTATCCTGATGTAACAAAACATGATGTTAGAATATGCCATGTCAATATGAAATTTGAAGGTAAAGAAGACCAAGAAGCTTTGAGAGTTGCAGACATGAGAGCATGAAAGGCTGCACATATCATAAAATCAATGGCATCAAATCATGAAAGAACAATCAAACTACATATGAGTTGTTACTTATCTAGTTTTTAACAAATTAGTGACAAGCTGGCCTGCAGTAAGAGAGAAGCATAGCAGATAAGCTATTATGTGCCATCACACTAATTTAACTGAATCACTACCATAAAAAAATTATTGGTGTCCTGATATGATAATCAAGCTTTAGGGAGACGTGCATGCACATGAATATCCGAGCTTCAAACAAGAGCATTCTGATACTGAACAGCTTAGATCGTTTTAGTTCGTTTTAGATAACATGCACAGATCTGGAATTTGAAATTAAAACCGCAAGCTTCATGTCAATTTTAATCGGGTATAAAATGAGATAGAAAATTGATCATTTCAACACAATTACTAACCTGTAAAACTTTCAATGTAGATGCATATGTCGAAGGTCTTCCAATCCCAAGCTCCTCCAGTTTCTTAACCTGTAAAATGCAGCATTATGAAGGTATGAAAGCCCCATTGCAAAAGAAGAAAAGCAAGCATAATCAATTAACCGTCTCCCTCCCTTAGCCCATTTTGCATGCACTCAGAAAGAAGTGAAAAGGAAAGATATTTGGATATTTTACATCATCCACACCAAAAAAACATATATGAAGAAAAGAAAGAACAGAACATTAGTGAAACAATTTTGGCATGCTTAGTTCAAGAGATGAAAAGTATCTTAAGTCTTCTTATAAGATAGCATTTACACATCATATTTCTGTGCTATGGCTTAACCATGATGACATGATTGTAATTTATTGAGCAAGAAAATTGCTTGCAAACACTTTTAGCATGAATGAAATTGACAAGATGTACCAATGATCCTTCAGAATAGCGTGGTGGAGGCTGAGTATAATGCTGCTTGAGCTCTACTTTACCAAGATATAATTGATCCCCTTTCTACAAAACAAATTAGTTAGTTACGAGACAAAATTGAAAATGAACATAAGAAATTACCAACACTTTCAAAATCATTGCAACACATTGACCTTATGATCTAATGCTAAAAAGGGGCAACCCACTGCCAAATACTATCTCATTCGATACCTCTAAAACTACACTAATACCATAGAAAAGCAGTTAAAAAGGTGACAAGACCATGACAAGACCATGCCTAAGGCAAGCTGAGGAATATAATAGAATAGAAAGGTTAAGATGCATCAAGGTGGTCAAAATATTATATATTTCAAAATAAACAATAAAGTGAAAATTTAGTACCTTCAGGGAACTAAGAATCCCAAAATCCTCGGCACAATCATTTGCTTCACTATCCTTAAATCTGATTGTTTCAGATTCAGCATCCTAGAAAATTAAAATAACAGAAAAAATAGAAAAAAATAAATATTTTTTAAACGTATTAGTAATCATGTTACATGTGGTACAAGTGAATCCTCGTGTTGCTGATTCATTTCTAATGTAGAAAAAGTATTCTCAATTCAAATCACCCAAGAAATAATCTAAAATCTCAATCAAAATTCAGAAATATCAATAATGAGATACTCAATTATCTAAAATAGCAATGTTAATCCAAAACCTCAGAGAAACTAAAACAATATGGGTACTTATAACTAAACCCTAAACCTTAATAAAAGCCAAAATACCAAATATAACCTAAAACCCTAATAATTGGAAATGAAGTAAAATACTAATTAATATGAAATAACCTAAATAATCTAAAATAGCATAAATATATGTACAGATTGCAATCAAACCTGTTAAACCAAAATTAAAGTCCTAGATAATTTAATCCCTCAACCAACATACTTCTATCCTACATTTCCTTTTATTATAAATTTAAATTCTTATAATATAGAGATCGTAGCACAAAAAAGAGAAAATATTTCATTTTAATTTATAAGTATTTAGAAATGTTATAATTGGGAAATACAACAAAAAGCAAATTAAGAAATCTTACATCGTATTTACATTCAATTTTGATACAAGTCATTCCTACCTCATTAACTAATTAAAATCATTAACTCAAGTTATAAGTGATTTTATACCCTTAGAATCAAGAAACATCAATAGATTATCCTGAGACCTTGTAACCAAATAAAATATACTAAATACTATAAAATAAAAATGGATAATTCAGAAATACAATAAAATTTGATGCCATTTTATGTTCAAAGAAAAAATTACCACTATCCATATAAAGATGGATATAAGCAAAATTTAATTACACCATCAAACGACCACAATTGCATTCAGATTGTCCATGTTGAACAAGATGTCCTGTGGACATCCATATTACACATTGAAAGAAGCGACCAGAAATAGTATGCAGAATGCACACATCCACAGGAAAACTGTAAATTATACCTGATAAGCAGACTGATATCCAAGGAACGCTACTCTTGAGCATGAAGATCGGAAACTGATGGACTCATCACAATTTCCAGTTTCAATTTGTATCTGATTAGAACAATGAATTCCAGGTATTATACAGATCATAGTATGATGGTCCATAATCATGCAGATGATAACAAGACCAATTTATCCATGTCCGTATCCGTATAGGAGAAAGAGGAAGATAAACCACATACAAGTAATATATGGTGCAATTAGTAAAAAAATGTAAATAAAGATTTTGCCAGAAAGAAATCAATGCAACCTGTTCAGAAGCACAATTTCCACCAAAAGATGGTAAGTAATCAAGCGAGCTTATTCTGATTGAAGTTTTAACTATAATGAATCAAAAGAATCATCATTCCAACCTGCTCTATGGTTGCAGGTTCCATTTGACATGCCATTGTCCTTGACCAAATAAGAGTGTATAACTTCAATGAATCTTCATCAAGTGCTCCAACAAGCATTGCTGACATTTAGAACAATTCAGTTGTTAACTGGCGGTGAGATTTCAAACCAGAAAATATAATACTGCAGTTCAGTTCAAAGTAAAAACATAATTTATCCTCATAAAAAGAAACAAGAAATTTTTTGACATACATGGTAACCTCCGAATATCGGTGGGTCTAATTGCTTCATGAGCCTCCATAGCATTCTTGACCTTCTTAAAATACTTGCGTGCACTTTGTGGGGTAAAATTTGGCCCATATCTGCAGAAATTAAGTTTTCATTTACAATCAGCAAGTAAGAGGATGAGCAAATTTGCCGAAAAAATTAAAGAGGGACATTAAACTACAATTCGACCAGCAATAAACTGGTGCTTATCAAGGAAAAATGCAATAACTTACTTTACTGAACTAAGAATTTTAAAAGAAAAATAGATAATGGTTTGTGTGAGAAAACACTTATTTACAGCTGGTTGTAATCTTGTAATCTGTATATTTATATTTGTATCTAGAATTAAGTATCTGTATCCCTAGAATTAAGAAAGATTTAGTTTCCTAGTTTAACCCCTAGTTAGTTGTATATAAACCTAAGATTCTTGTATAATTAAAAATAAGTAGTTTTTCAATATACATTTAGTTTCCACAGTTTGACCATAATAATCAACAAGAAACAGGGGTAGAAGTTTAGGATAAACACAAATATCTTGGAATTAAAGTTACAGATTTTGATGAGACATAAATTATTCGGTTCAAGCAATCTTACAGATATGCAACAATAACTGGCATGGAAAAAATGTTTACACTGAGGAAATATTAGATGTGCTTAGCAGTGTAGGCACATTGACAGGAAAAAAGCATGCAGGTAAAAGAAGATAAAATTTTTGAGCTTAACAATTCAGGTAGATGCAAGTCACCTTTCCAAAACCAAGGAGCGAATGTCCTTAACAGCTTCATCAGAAATCTAACACAATAACCAGAAAGATAAGTATTATAAACCCCCAAGATCACCAATCCTAGCACAAATTAGTGCAGAAAATAAAACACAGAGATTTAAGAAAGACTTATGAATAAAATAGAACATGATAAACAACAGTCATACAACTGAAACTATGATTGTTAGTATGAATTCTTGTTCTACCACAGTGGTATGGATCAAGTACCAAAATAACACGGTATATGACAAGCAATACATCAGCTAATTTTCATATATTGTATGAACAGAAACAGTGGAGTAATCTAATAGGTAAGAACTGAAAGAGAATATAAATCCAAGATAAGTCATCAGTCTTGCCAAGATCAAAAGTGCATGCCCTCAAAAAAATTTTAAATGCAATAATGACACTTGCAGCAAACCAAGATGTCAGAAGCCACGCAGAATGTTCTCCATTTTTCCTGAACTTTTTTTGAACAATAAATGCTAACTATTGTCTTCCCAAGAGGCCAAAGTAAATTTACATCAATAATGTTTAACTTTTGTTAACAGGTATTACTTATGAATTTAACTCCACTTCTTCTGCCAAGTTCAACTAACCTCTAATTTGCTATTATTATTATTTATTAGAATAAAAGATACCTGGAAGCCATTAAAGAGCAAGAGGAAGACACATGAACACTTCTATTGCAGGGCATGTGCACACTACAAGACCTCTCACATATGTCTTTTTGTTATCTTAGAAAAAAATGAAGACGCTGAATAAACTAACCAAGTAATAGAGAGATCAAAGATGTACCCACATGTAGCCCATCTGTTCTGGTGTATGTTATCAACCCAGTTGCCTCACCATCTAACAATTGAATCCCCTCATAAAGTTTTTGAGCAAGCTGCATTTTAAGTGTGAAAACAGAACTAGTAAATATATTGAAAAATCGGCCAGATAGTTATATGTTAAGGCAGGCTTGATGTCAAAGCATACGGTTAAACAGTGAAAAGGATATAAAAACCATACATATAATTTAGTAATTTTTTTAAATAAAGCAAATAAAGTATGTTAACATACAAGAGTTAATCAATATATAGTTTACAATAAAGTCCAAAGCAACAAGCAAAATAATTGCATCCCTAGATAATGACACTAAATAAAAAGTAACACCAAACACTGCAGTCAAAACAAAAGCAACATTTGATGAAGAAAATGTCATTGCCACCTCAACAAAGTCTTTAAAAAAAAAAAAGGAACAATTGCAAAACGAGTCTAAAAGTATAAGAAAAATTACAAAAATTCAAAAGGATAAGACCATAAAACTAAAGTTAATCACAGAGAGAGGGTGGAAAGTAAAGGAAGGAAAATTACTAAAATTTCACAGGTTTTATACAATTAAAACTGGCAAAAGAAAACCAACAACTTACAAACCTTCATTGTATATGTTGCCGGAAAATTTAATTTGTTTGCAGCATCCTGCTGAAGCGTTGATGTTATATAGGGTGCAGGAGAGTTTCTTCGCATTGTGTTTCTTTTAGAGCTGATCACTTTAAAATTTTCTAAATTAATCTTCTGTTCAACATCCTTAGCTTCTGTATCTGAAACGATTGAGAATTGACCTAACTTCTCTGAATTAAAATGAGTTAAGCGTGCAGGGAAAGAAGCATTTTTTACTGGAGCATTTGGTTCCTCAAAGTTCAACTGAACCTCAATAGTCCAATACTCCTTTGGCTTAAACTCATCAATCTCTGTTTCTCTGTCACAAATAATAGACAAAGCAGCTGATTGCACTCGTCCGGCAGACTGGCAACCCGGTAGCTTCCTCCATAATAGTGGTGAAATGTTAAAGCCAATCAGGTAATCAAGAGCACGTCTAGCAAGATAAGCATTTACCAAGTTTACATCAATTTCTCGTGGCACTTGCAGAGCACCTTTGATGGATGCTTCAGTTATTTCATGAAAGACAACTCTTGCTACATGAACATTTTCACCTAAAGCATCCTGCTGCTGCAACATCTCAATGATGTGCCAAGAGATAGCCTCGCCTTCACGGTCTGGGTCTGATGCGAGAATAAGATTTTCTGCTCTGAGTAAGGCAAGTAAGATGAGAAACTGAAAATTTGATAAAAATATTAACAAAAGCAACTGAAGGAATTGATAACAATCATGGATAATAACATTACATCAAATGTCTGTAAAACTTAAATTATATCATAAGACTTCTCATCACAAGGATGATCAGAAGAGTTTCATTGGAATCGATACAAAGGGACACAACAAAATCATAAGAATTCTCTCCACAAATTTAATCTCAAGGAATATATTGGAAGTGATAGAGAGGGACATGAAAGTATTTCCATGTAGTGCAACATCGCATGTCTGTGGAGTAGATTTTAAGACTTTCGACCACAAAACTAATCACAAGAATTTCATTGCAAATGCTAGGAAGGGACATGATTACATACCCACTTAGTGCAACCTTAACGCTTTTAAGATGCGTCCATGCAGCACTGGGGACCTCCCATACCATGCTAAAGTCATCACCAGGTCGCACAGATCCTGACCGTGCAGCCAGGTCCCTAACATGACCATAGCTAGGCAATACTTCAAACATATCACCAAGGTAGCCCTGAATGACCTTCGCCTTTGTGACAGACTCAACCACCATAACAGACTTCCCAGTGGGAGGATATAGCTGCTTCAGTGGCTTTTCTTGTTGAGATATATGTTGTGGCACCTGTTTCTGAGCTGGCTCATTAACTTCTTTCATTGGCTGCCTTTTTCTACTTGAGCTCCTGCTTTTCTTTTTTGACTGCTTTTTGGTTGAAGCAGAACCATCATGGGCTTCAGTAGGCAAGTTGCCAGTTGAATTTTTCTGGAAAACTGCATTGTTAGTTAAACTTTTGCCAGATTCCAAAGCAAGCACACACACAGATGTAGATAATGCATATAAATATGTCCATGTATACATATACACAAACAAACATACATATATGAATGCATATTAAAAATCCCAATAAATCCAAATTCTTTTTAGCATTTAATAACTGCCAACCTCTGCAGCCTGTGTGGGATGCTGGCCATTTTTGCTAATATTAGAGGTCACTACCAGAGAAAGAGTTTTAGTGCCTTTCACCACAGGTTCTTCCTTTGGAACAACAGTGCTGGACATTTGTTCCTTTTTTTTCTTGCTTCTTGACTGCTTTTTCTTTTCCAGACTATCTTTAGATTCTGTCTTAGCATTGGTAATCAATGAAGTTGAAGCAGAGTTTGGCTTAGCATTGTTAACCAGTGAATTTGAAGTAGAGTCTGGCTTAGCATTGTTAAGTAGTGAAGTTGAAGCAGGTGATTCAAAAGGTGCACACTTGTTCCCATTGAGAGCAGCCACTGCCTTTGGCTTCTTTGAATGCCTATTAAACCATCTGAATCTGAAGCCACTACTCCTCCCATCTCTGACACTCATACTATCACTGGGTTTGGCTTTACCTGTAGCTATTCTCGTAGGCGTCTTAGTTGCTGGTTGAGGGGATTGAGAAAAAAACCTTTTGGAAAGAGGCAGCAAATAGGTTGATCTGATACCATTGCAAGATGAGCATGTAGAGATTATATTTCTATTCGGAGGTAGTGCACAAGTTAAGTGGTTGGGTGGCAAGGCAAATGTAGAGGCATTGTGAAGGGTTGTGAAAAGATTCAAGTGTTGGCAAAGTTTTGGAGAGCTAGGCATGAGCCTTGAAGGTGGTCTAAGTTTTTTAAATTTAAGTTGAGATGGTATTAGAGAAAAGATTTCAACTGCCATGAACTGAAATTGAAACACCAAAGCCACAATCAGTTTATAATCATAAAAAAGCAAGGCATATTTATGAAACATCCCTCTAACTATTTATTTAAACAGCTAAACATGACTATTATGGATTTATTGTCAACTGTAAATTGTGAATTATCAAGGAAAGTAAACAAATTTACCAAAATGCAATACACATGTATATATGTTGAGTCTGAAAATGAATTAAGTTTACAGTTTTTATCAATGACCAAACAAACTCTACCACTGTAGTTGACAAAAATGATATTATTAGTAAAAACTTAGAGAAAAGAGAAATGTAATAAAAAGGAAAAGACCAAAATTTAAGTAAAGTTTTTTTTTTTTTTCTCCATGTAGAGAATGACTAGAGCAAAATACAAATGAGAAAATGAACCTTGGGCATCAACGGGTGAAGACGCAGTGCTGCAGAAGTAATAGTAGAAGAAGACAACAAGCACCTTTGCATTTCCCTTTGAATCGTTTGACTCAAATTATTATTTGGGTTTGGAGGAGAAACAAAGAGAAAGCTTCCAGCGTCAGGGCTTTAGGGATGATTAGGCCCCAGGGTTTTTCATTAGGGTTTTATATACGGGTGTATTTTGTTTATAATATTAGGATATTATTTTATTGACAAAAAAAGATGTGGGTCGGGTCAGTTGGATCCAGAACACAAAAGCCCAAGCTCTAACCTTTTTCGTAGAGATTTTTAAAAAGGGCTATGGGATGTCTTGGTTGAATCAAAACTCGAGAAGCGAATTTAGGTCTCTGCATCTCTCCTCTCGTCCATCATCGACCAGGTAACAACTAAAGAAGCAGTATATTTCTTTCATTGTCATTGGATTCTTATTTTATTCGGCAAAATAGATTGCTTTCCGAGTAACTGCTCAGGAAAAAATTCTCAAGCCAACTACAGAAGTTTTTAATTAGGCTTTCTACTTTCCAAATCCCTTGTTTCGAATCCGTATTTGGTACTTGCGAATTGGAATGCTATTGACTACTACTGTCTGCTAATACATATTTTTCGCTTTTTTTCATCCTTTTTTTCTTTCTAGTTGTATTTGCTATAGTTATTTAGTAGAACAGATACTGCATAAAATCTTTGGTTGAAAGTGTGAAAGGCTGCAACTTTATTTTTCTAAGCACTTGCCTCTTGTTCCCTGCAACTCAAATCCATAATAATGTTTGCTAATCTTACTGCTGCTTTTATCGTAGCATATTAGAAGAAAACATAAAATTAAAATGCCTGTGCTTTTTGGTTTAATGATGAATGGAACTTGTTTCCTTTTCTTGTAGCAGGCCTTACTGATTTTTTTTTTCTTTTTCGTGACAGCCTTTTGCCTTATCATCCTCCAACACCCTTATGGATCGACCACCTCATAGTTATGCAGCTGCATCTGCTATGGCCTATTCCCAACAGCAGCGGCAACCAGCCAATATTCAACAGCAGTTTGGATTTCATCCGCAACATCAACAGTTCCCTACAACAGTGCACGGTCCACCTTTCATACCTCCACATCCTTCTCAGTTCCCTTACCATCCCCACATGCAACAGCAACCACAACTCCACCCACATCCCTCTCTGCACCCTCAACTTCTTCATCTTCAGCAGCAACAGCAACAGCAGCCACCACCTTCTTTCCCTTCACATTTGCCTCCTCACCTTGTTTCTTCACCTTTCCATGGCCTCTATGATTCTCCACCACCCCTTGCCACTCCCCCATCTGATACGGAGCTCCAGAAGCGTATTGATAAGCTTGTGGAGTATGCAACTAAGAATGGTCCCGAATTTGAAGCCATGATCCGTGAAAAGCAGCATGATAATCCTGATTACAGTTTCCTCTTTGGTGGAGAGGGGAATGGTTACTACAGGTACAAGCTTTGGTTATCTACGCTTCCCCCAGGTGGACCCTACCCTTCCTTTCCACCCTCTTCTATACCTATGATGCATCCTCACCCAAATCCTGTCATGAATCCTTCCCTGAACGCGCCTGCAATGAGCGCTGCTGCTTCTGTTGGGGCTATGGCTGCTCCTCAACTGCACCAACCCGCTTTTCCACCATTTTATGATCAGCAGCACCATCATCAGCATCCTCAGCCTTTTGTTACTCATGGCCAGCCAGAGTATGATCAATCCTTCAAAGGCCTTTCTGGTCCACTTCCCTCTGATGTTGCAATGGAGCTTACTACCATACTTAACAATCTAAATGGTACCAAAGAGTCAATCAAAAGTGCCAAGATATGGTTCATGCAGAGGTCTCCATTTGCACCAGCTTTGGCTGAGGCACTTAAAGATAGGGTATTTGCTTTGGATGATTCAGAGAGGCAATTGCATGTGATTTATCTCGCCAATGACATTCTTTTTGACAGGTACTTTTCTATTGGTATATGGTTGCTGTTGTTTAGCTGCTGATGGCGTTTTAGACATATTCTGTGATGGCTCCTTGTCTAGTTGTTTGCAAATGATCTATGCATCATGAAACATTTCTTCCCTTTGTCTTGTACCTGATTCCTTGATACCATAAATCTCTTTCTTCCTCTTTTTGTTATTGCATTAGATTCTTTTTTTTTTTTTGGTACATTCCAAATGTGATCCATATTCCTGTGATGTAATTAATTAAAAGATTATATTTCTACTGTGATATTCTAGAATTAAAACTTTGAACTGTGATATTCTAGAATTAAAGCTCTAGGTCTAGATTCCTTCTCTATATATTCTAAAACTTGATTATTTGACCTTGTGGTTCTTACCTATCAGACATGGGGCACGTGTCTTCCCATCTTATTTAGCAGTTAACCCTACTGTTGATTTGTATACATATGATTGTTAGCTCAGATCAGATGTTGGTGAACCTGTGAATAATTCAAATTGGGTTAATTCAGTTCTTCAAGAGCCAATGTCAAGTTATTGAATCATTGATGAACAATAGTAACTCAAAAGCAAGTAATTTCCATTTGCCAATCTGTGGAAAAAATCTTGAGTACTGTTTTTCCTTTTTTTTTTTTGGCATGTTATCAATTGTTTTCAAATATTATTAATCATCCACTCATTTTAATTTTAATTGGACATTTTCTTATGCTTTTAGTTATCCAGTTAGTTATATTGCTTGAGTCAGAAGGTTCAGAATCATGCATAATCCTCCCTATTAACATCAATTGGGTAATTGATAAGTAAAATACCTAACCTTAAACATTTGTAATATCTGAAACATGCATCTATATAGTACTTGGTAATTTGTTGACTTACATGATATTCTAGGTCACATACTAATACAACTTAAGAAACCATCTTAAATCAGCCTTCCTCTTTAGAAAACAGGCTTACATTACTTGTTCTATTATATCTGTCAATCACTTCTGGACCCAGAGTGTATTCTTTCCAAAAGTCTTAGGTTTTTCCTAGGCCCTAGCATGGTGCAGTTCTTCATCTTGTTTGTTCCGGTGTTGATGCCGTGATTGTTCCTTCAGATCCTCCTTGACATTTCTCTTCAATATTTGCAGTTTGCAGAGAAGGGTTAACCCTCGTGACCTAGATAATGAAGCCCTTGCATTTAAACCTGTATTAGGTTCAATGCTTGCAAGAATATACCACAATCCTCAAAACAATGAGGAAAATCAGTCACGTTTACAGAAAATTTTGCAGTTTTGGGCATCCAAGGAAGTTTATGATCAAGATGCCATATATGCACTTGAGAGTGAGATGATGAGTGGACCACCAACTAATTCTTTTCCTGGGCCTCCAAAAGAATTGTCTGCTGCTTCAGTCGAGTCCTCAACACCTGCAGGTAGCTTCTTCTATTTAAATAAAGAACTTGGGCTTTTTGTAATGTGTCATTTCATGTATTTCTAATTTCCCTTTCATTTTTTATTTCTTAAAATTTCACCGTGTAGGAATATTACCACAGACAGCGAACAATAATGTCACTCTATGGCAGCCTGACAAGCAAAGTTCTATTCCAAATGTACTGGACCAAGAGCTCCCTGATAAACAAGTGGCCACTGCCTTGCTACCATCGCTGGCAAACCAGCAATTTCTTCCAAATTCAGTCCCTACTGGGGGCTTCCCAGGGTCTATGCCCTTAAATTCTAATCTTCAGCCACCGAGCCTACAATCTGCAAATATTGGTGAAAAGTTGCCCCCATATCCACTTTTCCCACCCGGTCTTATTCCTGGAATGGTCAGAAAAATGCAAATTGGGAGTGGGGTGCCTTACTCTCCCCTGAGTCCTTTGGATATCCCAACAGTTATTCCTCCATCCAGTGTATCACCATCAGAAATTCTTGATAGAGTATCAAAGTTTTTCAAAGAGATTGGAGAGGTTAACCCTTATCAAGGATCTTCAAAAGATGAAGATGATGAGTATGAGATAGAACCTCCCACTCGTAAGGGAGGAGCTTGCATCCCTCCACCCCCAAATCTGCAGGTAGACCCAGATTCAGGAACTTATGCTGATGGAAGTGCAGAGCGGAAACCAGGATCCAGTGGCTTAGGAAGATTAGGACTTGGAGCAACAGCTAATCCCAATGAAGCGAGTCAATATGATGATGTTTATACATCTTATAGAAAACAGAGAAGCACCTCATACCATTCATCCATGAGTGCTCGAGCTGCTACGAGGTAAACCTGTCAAATATCACTGAATGATCCATACAGGATGGAAACCAAGGAGTACTTAAATGGCTCATTTCTTCTGCTTTTATTTTTTATTATAATTATTACTCCTTTCAGCACGTAAGCATGGAGGAAAACTGAAGTTGACTGATTATGCTAGTTAAATTTTGGTTGGTAAAATGTGTGCGCATGCATAGACCATTAGGAGATTTAATTAATTTTACCATACTGTCATGTAAGTAGTGTTCAAAAAAAGGGGCTTTTCGTTCTGCATGTAATGAACATGATTGGAGACACCTGACAATCTAAAACATCATACAATGACACGTGAATATGATACAAAAAAAATGATACAAAGTTGACATGATTTAAAATTTTAGTAATAATTATAAATGAGTTTAATGAAATTAAAAAAAAATAATGTTGTCGTGTCGATATCAATTATGATACGTAATTTTTTATATAAAATGAGATATAATTATAAGAATTTTAGTATTTTAGATGTTATGAATACATAAATTGGTAAATAGAGAAAAAGCTAATTATATGATTCAGCAGAGAAAAGCTAATTATATTCTTCAGCAGTTAAATAAGTTTTGGACCAAGCAGGTATTGTCATGAACAACAAAGCAAAGGTTATAATCCATCGTCTTCATTGGGCAATGCTATAGATACACCTTGTAGTAATTAAACTAGAAAACTATGCGCTGCCACAGTACAAGCAGATGTTCTATCGTAGAGCAAATCATGGATGAATAACTATGAGGTCCTGGACATCACTGTTTTAAATCCCTGCATGCTAAATTTGTGTACGTGGATACCAGCTGACGGCAACGTTCACAGATTTGCTCACTGCTGCAAGATAGAACACCAGTTTAAAAGAGGATGAAATAGCATCCAAATCCAATATTCTCATTTTATTATTATTTCATTTATTATGATAATATTTTCAAACTGCAAAGTTCACATTTTTTGGTCGAAACAGGCTCATACGATAACTGACTTCGTCCATTTGCAAGGTTCCCTTTTTTTTTATCAAATTCAAGTATCTGGTTTTGGGATATGAATCAGGCTAGTTGACTTTAGCAATTGTGAACAATTGGTTAAAATAACTAAGTCATAATTGTGAAAGTAGAGTGCTGGAAAAAACTAGCCATTGCAGTTAGAAGCTTTATTGTTTTAACATGCCCAAACGCTAAACAATATTCAAAGATAAAGCACAAATAATGTTACTCTTGTTTCTCCACCCAAATAGCACTTGCAAACAAACTTGAAGAAAATCTCAATGGACCTTGGGCTGAACCGCTACTCTTGCACGTAATCACGGGGCAATTCTTTGGGGGTCACGGGGGAAAAGTGAAGTTTTACGAATGTTGCCCAGACCACAGAAAAGCATCACTACACGCTCCAGTCCCACTCCAAACCCACCATGTGGAGGCGCACCATATCTGTAAAAGATTAAAGAAACTGAGAGCATTAAGAACTCAAGCAATTCAATAAACACCAAGAAAAGCTTCAGCAGCAGATGCCATTTGCACAAAAGTATTGATAAACAAATATTCTGATAAGCATTCTGTTCTTCTCTACACTAACTTATCTGCACCCGAATTTAAGGTCTAAAATAATTCCCAACTGAAATTTACTAAGGTGACAATTCCAAAACATGCTAGAAGGAAAGTAAGGTAATAGAGAAAATAGTGCTTTTTAACTACCTGAAAGAATCAATATACGTTGATATTGTATTGACATCAATTCCACATGCCTGTGCACGTTCTGCCAAAAACTCAGGCACATGTACACGCTGTGCTCCTGAAATTATCTCCTCACCTAAAGGATAAGAAGCAGTTCCACAAGTGTGAAATCAATTGAATCACACAAATGAAAGGGGAGCTAAAAGCGATTTTCCTTTCATTAAGAAAGATACCATAAATAAGTTCCAAGAGTAATATATCTATAAAAAAAAAGGGGGAGATTTAAAAAAGAAAGAACATGAATGCCGTTATGTCATGTCAGGGGATACAAGCAAAGAAAAAGCATTAAATGCACATTCAATTAAAGAGATTTAAAAAGTGATTATTTCAATCCATTGAACCTCTTGTTTCTCCATTACAACCTCAATCTTTTTACTATTACCTTTGATTGATTTACAACTTCATCCATGCAGCACAACAACCACGACATCAATCCAGATTTACATGGAGGTTATTTCTAGTTTTATTTAACAAACTCACTCATTTATTGATAAAATCATTATTTTTGACACAGACATAAGAGTAATAATTTCACAGCATTATTGGCACACAAAAGCAGAAACCACATAAAGAGATTAAAAAAGTAAAACTTCAACTAAAACATACTTAAACAGAACAAATATAGCCATACTATGAAACTAAAAATAGATCAAGATCCATACAGAAAATCTTGCTGATTACCTCGGATAAAGACATCAAATGAATTACTATAAAGGGAATTATCATAGCAAGGCATGGTGTAGAATGGCCTTACAGCCAAAGGATAGCGATGCAGAATATAGAATTCAGTGCCATACCTACAACAAACAGTATTTTAGTTCATACTCATAATTATACAAAATGTAAAACTTAAAGATCGCATTCAGTGAATAGAAAAGAAGGAACGACAGGACAAAAATCTAAAGGACAAGAAATAAGTAAAAGTTAGATATTACTTCTCCAAAACTAGCTGGCCCAATTTTCTCTCAGATTCTGTATTTAGGTCCCCAAGAGGATCAACTTCCACACCAGCATCCTGAACAAACATATGAAATTTGAGTGAAGGTAAAATAGAACCCAAGAACAGCTTAAAACTGACAAAACCATTTCATAGAACAAAGTGGATCTATGAGAAATCTTTAGTGTCTGATCCAAGTATAACAACTTAAGCAAGCTACTTTCTCTAACTCTTTATATTCTTTCCTACGGCTGTTCTAATTTATTTTTATTATACATGCATGCTATGTTGCCTCAATTATTTATTTCACCTATTTCCTCTTTAACATGATTACAAATGAAAAGAGGAAAATATAGCAGTACATGACTTAAATTTATATAACAAAGGTTAAGGATTACCTTCAGCATCTGAACTCCTTCCTCGAATGTAAGTCGCAGGGTATTTGGCTTGTACTGCACATATATAAATGTTAACAGTAGAATATGGATTCAAAACAATCTGATTCCACATTGATATGTTTCTTTCTATTCCACTTATAGTTAACAGACTAATACAAGAATATTTATTCATTCCAAAAAATACAGAAACTTTATAGCAATATAAGCATAGTAGAACTGAAAATGGATAAAGACCTTCAAAGGTTCAAAGGGATACTGCCTCCCCACAGCTTCAAGTTCCTTCTGACACCTCTCATTCAAACTATCAAACATTGTAACAAATAATCTATCCACAATGTCCATCACCTACATATAGATGCCCAATTGGCCATTAAAATATAAACCATCACAAAGTTTCAGGTAGAAATGACTCAAACCAACTAATCTTACCTCTGAGTAGTGCTTCTTGATCTCCATTTCAACATCAAGACCTGTAAATTCACACAAATGCCTATGAGTGTAGGAATCCTCAGCTCTAAAAACCGGGCCAATCTCAAAAACCCGTCCAAAATCACCACAGATTGACATTTGCTTGTGAAGTTGAGGAGACTGTGCCAGACACGCAGGTTGCCCTTTGTAGTCAAGCTTAAAAACAGCAGAACCACCTTCACTAGAGCCTGCTATCAGTTTTGGGGTGTGGATTTCAACAAAATCCTCAGATAGCAAGAATTGCCTAAATATCTGCAGAATTTTTGGACTTGCTTGAGAAACCATTTAGCAGTTTAGAAATAAGATGGAAATGGGAAAGTAAGCAAATAGCTATAAGCTGTAGCAATTGGAGACCACATAAAAAATGGTGAATGAAAATAAACTCTCATAGAATGAAACCACTCTCATAGTTCAATTTCACGACCTGAGAGGTGCATTTCCAAGCATATCTATATCCACAAAGTTAGAAATTTTGTAGACCACCTAAAGGTCAAGGTAAAGAGCAGATACAATAAATGCGTAAATGAAACAGTTGTGCTTGCAAGCTATCTGAGCTCAGCTAGAACTCGAACAAAATCACTGTTAATCCGAGCTCGAGCTCAAGTAGCTCTAGTTATTGAGCAAGCCAAGTTTGAGGAGCGTAATATCCAACTCAAGAGGTTCGCGAGACTAACTGGGCTTTTCTATTTTTTAATATATATTTTTAATATTTTATTAGTAATTTACAATTTTCCCTTTATATATATATATATACACACCTAAAAAAAAAAAAACCCAAATTCCTAACCTTCAACGCATTTACTTCCACTCTTTTGCGATTCCAGCAGCACCAGGCCATTCATTCAATTCCATTTTACAAACCAATTTGGAGCTTCAACCTTTGCTTTTGGATTCATGCCCTGCCTCTCGGCCTTATAATTGAAATGCCAGCTCTACCAGTAAGTTTTTTTCTTTTCTTTTTTTATTCGGTTCTCAGTTTGAACTTTTTTTTTCTATTCGGTTAACAATTCATGCCGGCGAAAGGAAATAAGAGTCGATGCGAATAGTAATCGAGAAAATAACTAGAGTTTTAAAATTTTTACAAATATATTTAATTAATAAACTTTTTAAATATTTGAATAAAATCCAATTTTAGTTTTGAATTGATGCAATTTTACTTCTATGCATTTTAAATTAGTTCAATAACGATGAAACCTTATGTTAACACACAGCAAGATTAATCGAGCTCATTTTTTACTAGGTAAAAGAGCCTAAAAGAGTGAATTTGAGTTGCTTGTTTTCTATCTAGAGTCTAGCTCAAGCTAAAAAAAGCTCGAGTTGAGATTCAAGCCTCAAGTTTGGAGTTGAGCTCGAGTTTCTCACTGTTTCAACTCAACTTCGCTCGATTACACCCCTAAGACACAATAGCATGCAATAATTATTGTAGTCAGAGAGAGAGATGATGATGATGATGATGACATTAGCAAAGCCTCTAAGATTTACCATTCCAACTTGGCACTGGACGCGGAAAATCCCTTGATTAGCAGGGGTTCGAATATCAAGAACTCTGAAGTTCAAACGTGTATCCTGATTGACACGAGGAAGTTGAACTCCACCCTGTAGTAGATTAAATGATAAATAGACATGGATGAGAATATACATACATATATAATGAATACAAAAATTTAACAAAAAAAAGGCATGAAAGCAAGATAAGGGGTATATAACATACTTGCAAAGCAGTTTCAATTTCAACATAACTTCGAGCAGCATCCTCAATATTAATGGGTAAGTTGGGCATGGCTTTATTCACACAATACAGTTTTCTAACGAGAATGTCGATCTGGAACAATAAAAAAAAAAGAGGTTATTGATGAATACTCGATATTCATTTTTTTAATTTAATTATTTTCAAAAATAAAAGAAAGGCTTTATTAACACCAAAAAAGAAAATTCTAACATGAATTTCACCCGAAGAAATAAAAAAAGAGGTGATTGATGAATACTTGATATTCATTTTATATTTAAAATAAAAAAAAAGGCTTCATTAGAAGAAGGTACTACCTGCTGTGTGGCTCCCTTGATGGGATTCTCAGGAACAGATACCACACCGATTACATCAACGATGGATTCACGGTTGAGTCCAGCTACAAATTTCACCATCTGACGACTCACTCCCTCTGATTGCGTGGAAACCAAGCACTGGACAGTGAATCCCTTCTCTCTCACCACCAAGAATGTCATATTCTTCGACACCGGTCGTGTTGTATGGGCTCGCCCCCGTATCAGCACCTCCTTGCCCTTCAGCTCCTGGGTAAGGGCTCCAACTTGAGTCCAGTCCATAGAGGCAATGGCTCGGATCCAATTTCCAGCATCGGGTTGGGAGCAGGATTTGAGCTCGGGGAGAGGAACATCGCCATAGTTGCAGGAATGGGGGTCCTCCTCCTCGACGGAGAGAGCAGAAGCCGATGAGGCCAAGGAAGCAGCTTCCTGGCGGCGGCGCATCTTCTCCAGCTTGGCAGCTTCTTTCTTGGCAGCTTTCTTGCTCAAGTTCTGCTCTTCCGATTCGGATGACATGGTGATGATGATGACGATGATGCTTAAGTTTCAATTTTATAATAACAACTTCAAAGGATAATAAAAATGAATACTGGTTCTGGCCTTCTGGGTGAAGCAATTCGCCAAAACCCTAGTTTTAAAAACTGCGTAATTTCTTACTCTACTATTGTTAAAGCGAAAATAAGACTGGCCTGGCCGGGCCTCAGATAAGACCCACTGGTTCCGTTTGTCTTCCTTTTCTTAATGGGCTTTTACTGAATCTTATTTGCATATCAGCCATGAGCCCAGCAGTGACTTGCCCAAGCTCGTTTCGACTTTTTCGGCCAGGAGAAAAAATATATTTATATCAAGGATTAAGATTTAAGGTTCTAGAGTGTAGAAGAAATTGCCAGTTCATTATACTCTTAATTTTTAGTTCGGTATTAAGTGCTAATTTTTTAATGGGATTCAGGGTGAATATGGTAATTGAAATTTAATTGAATTGGATTTAGGGTTTAGAAGAAATTACCAGTTTCTTATCTCTTTTTTAATATAACAAAATAATGCCTTTAAAATAACATTTTAACTAATTGCATGTAAAAATCCACAGACCATATCCTTATTATTTTGCCTTTTTTTTTTTTTCAAAGAAAAGGAATCATTAAATCAAATATGACTGTTTCTAGGGTATATGATGCAATTGCATGGAATGGAACTTGCCAACCAATTCTTCCTTCCATTTTCCCCCATCAAATGGAAGTCAACAGGCTCCGGCCCGAAAACAAATGGTAAGTCAACCTGCTACAACAGCTGTGCATTGTTCGTAGTTGTGGCTGTCCGGTTACCGGCGTACTCGGGAGTTCAGATCCCAGTTTTCTACGAAGAATTGTACAACAACTTTTTAACACGTATGAGATAGAGCCCTGGTCGACAATCCAACTTTTGAACTTTAGCCTACTTCACTGCAAATTTAGGTTTCTCTTCTTATTGGGGAGCTGACTCACATGGATATAAAACAACCATTATTAAATAAATCACTCGATCACAATCAGTCACAACTACTCTTAAATTCCTTCTATGTCTAGCCGCAGAACCACAAACACACAGGGAATACACGCTATAAGTGAGAAGAGAATACCCATTTTCTACTTACAACCTCTGTAGCTGTAAAAACCACGCAAAATCATATAGAAATGCGTCAACAACTGCCCTGTGGCTTCGTAACAGACAAAAACCTACCCCACCAACATATCGTCACAAAAACAACCACCAAGCAGAAATAGCTATTAATTGAAACACCATGCCAAAATCGGCACCAGTAAACATCAGGTGGAAAACCAAAAACAAGAGAGAAAACCAAAACAAGACGTTGATCCAATTGAGAACCTGCATTTAAACAATCAAAGGGTAACAGATATGGCAGGCCCACATATATAGCTACAGAGGGAAACCAAATCAATGATTCCCTTACTACTAAAATAGTACAACACCAGTAGTCCAAGTACAATTGACACCAAAATCCAGAAACCAGTAGTCTGAACAGTTACCTTCTCCTATCTGGAAAATAAGGGGAAAAGAAAAAAGTAAAATACTGATACATACACGAATTTATATTTAAATTCTTACTGCTGCTGTTTTTCCTTTGCATTTTCATTTATATCCTCTTTTCCTTTATCGTCTGTTCTTCACTCTTCTATTCTGGATCAGTCAATTGTCATAGGTTGAGTCATGCAACACCTGAAGCGGGCCTTCCGAACAGTTGTCAGTATCTCAGTTTCAGCATTCTCAAGCATCTTCACAATCTCAGTGAATGGAGGACGGACTTCTGGGTTTGTGTCCCAGCAACGGGTCATGATCTCACTCAGCACAGGGAGGCAATCATTTGGAATAACTGGCCTTACACCCTTGTTCACCACAGCAAATGCTGCCTGTACTGCAGTCATGTTCTGGAAAGGAAGCAAGCCAGTGATGAGCTCCCAAAGGACGATTCCAAAACTATACACGTCTACTTTTTGCGTGTAGGGCCTATGTTGTATCATCTCTCTGAAAGAGCAAAGACAAACACAGAATCACGACCAACAGCATTACTAATATAAATAAAGAACAAAAATGAATAAAATACTTTTGAGATAGACAATTTTAATACCAAGTCAACAGGTCAGCAATTGAAAACAATTTCATGTAAAAGAAAATTCAGCAAAAATAATGATAAACTAAATGCCAAAACAAATGCACCAATGAACACCATTATATTGTTATGATAGATATATAAGATGCAAATCAGTTTCCAGTACTCTCCATTTGAAACAGGAAAGCAATTCTAATAGACAAATCCAAGTAACATGGTAAGTAGAAAGTAACAAGATGAGGTGATGCAATGTTCTCAACTATCTTCTCTCGCAGTGGGGAATCACCATAGCAGTGCACATTAAGTCAAGAACACAAGAAAGAGGAATTAATAATACACAATTTCAATGCCTTAACTTGTTCTATTGCCTGTGGGTATTAAATATACACAACAGTACATCATGTCCGCTCCTCAAGCCGCGAAAGCTAGTTAACTATTCAAGGATAATGACACAACATAAAATGTTTATTTATGGTAGAAATATCTTGACATGGCATTCTGCTTCATCAGATATTGTTGTTATATCAACTAATGGATACACCTCTTAACTTTACATCAAAGTTGAATTGTGAAACTGCAATTTATCCATTCAAAGTAGTATCCTTCAAACCAGTCAGAACGTAGCCCTCTACAAAGGCATTGACAAAATTTCCCACCCTAAACAATCAACAAGACCAAGGCAAATAGAGAGAAGTAATTCTTAGTATCGTCTTAACATTGAAGTAGAAGTCATTTGACAAATCCTAGAAATGTAGTGCACATCATTATACTCATAAGGGCCCAAAAAATTACGTCTAACAATTCTATGATCTTTTCTTATCTTTCACAGTTCATGTTTTGTGCTCCATCAATCAACTATAATGCAAACAAGATATTTCCAATTAGAAGTGTTGCATAACAGCTTGTTATAATTCTCAGTTGATCTTCCACCATGCTATACCTACCATTTCTATTCTCAAGCACTCTACAAATACACATTTAATAGGGAAGGGGAAAACAACATAATTTACTAAAAACTCGTGCTCAACAGTTTCCAATTTTACATAAGAGTGTGTTCAGAGGGATTGGATTTCGAGGAAGCATTTTAAATGCTCAAAAGTAAATTACATCATGTGGATAAAAGATCACAGAATTTTAGAGATCCAAATACCTGCTTCAAAATAAAACCTAGAAAGGTGTTATTTCGAAGTACTTTATTCCTTCAACCAAAAAACAAGATACTAAAACTGAGAAAAAGGACAGAGAAAGTCTCATATACTTCGTCTTTGTCTCCCAAAGTTAATTTTTGGTCAGATATCTCATTGTTTCATCACCATTGATGTCTTCTCCAAGTTCTAGCAACACCAACAAGACCTAATTTTATATTTTCACTTCCCTTTCCTCTTTCTCTCATCTCTCCTTCTGGTGAGTTTTCTCCCCTTCCTATGCTTCCAGATGCCATTTTGTTGCCAGTAAAGAACTAGGATGATAGCCACTTTTTGTTCTTCTTCTTCTACCCAAATATCTCTCTGGTTGTGCTTCCAGCACATTTTTGAAACAATCAGTATGCTTTAAACTATTGGGAGGATGGTTGGTGATGGTTGTGAAATTCTGAGAGAGAAATGGCAATGTCCTGTTTAAGTTGGATAACCCAGGGATTAATATTCCAATGTGTGGAATAGCTGACCAAACCGCACATTCTCAATAACAGCTTTTTGAATTGCCTCAGTTTAAAATGCTGTAGAAATTGTCAAATGCTCTAGCCAAATATAACCTAAGAGACCTTTTCAGTTCCAAGCTAGGACATTTCTTGATAAAACATACTTGCATCCAACCTCATTATTAAGTAAATTGATTTACTTATTTGTCTTCCTCCCTTGCTTCAACATAGCACAACAAAAATAGTAATCTCCCAACTTTAAACTAGATACAAAATACAACTCTTAACGCATCTATTTGTCTACATCACTATTACTCTGTATATAATTATGTAAAAGTTGCAAACACTGTAAAGTCGATACGAGAGGAAAATGAAGACTTGGGCTTCAAAAAAAAGTGAAAGATCTTTTCGCCCTCATTAACAGGTTTGTTCCTGTGCATGTGAAGTAGATTCCAATGCTTGGCAATTAGCCTATTTAGAACAGTACCATTTAAATTTCGAGAGACAAGTCATTAGCACTGTCGGTTAGTCCAACCTCAGTGATGTGCAGTAAGATGTTGCAGATGATAACATATAAATTCCAAATAATGGCCAGGGGGCTTTTGCAACTCCTCTCTTGCTCTGCCACAGCCAATATAGTTTAGGTGCTGCTGCCAAAAACTAAACATTGAGCCATCTGGAAACCTTGGTCACTATTCTTAATTAAAAGTTATACAGTTTTATTAAATTAGAAACAAGTTAATGGGTATGTATGCCAGCAAACAGTGATGAGAAGAGTGAGGCATAAACCACATTAAAACCAAAGGATCACTTCATACGAGTGAATCCCAAGTAAATCATGAAGTCAAAGGCATCCAAGAGCAATCAAAACACATAACTGTAAATACACCAAACAAAAAGGACAAGTATAATGGGCAAAAGAATACAAGATTCTTATGAAAATTTTTCAATATTTAACATTCATAATGCACCCAAATATGAAATAGGAACCAGATCTCAAGATAGAAGACCAGTTTTCTCAGCCACCATAGCTGGAACAAAACAAGCACCCAAAAATATGAAGGACATGATGTACAGCAAATAGTGGCAGTGGATAAAAACAAGCTAGGCACAATCTCCGTCTTGATTGAAAACACAACATCAACTTAGCATATTACAATCCTATCACATTCAAATCTCAAATGTTTAAAATTTCATAAGAATACTAACCCTTCCAAACAAATTTAAGGACATAAATGAATGAATGCTTTATAAGTACTTTATTATCCAGTATCCACTTAATAGTTGTCACATCTTATTTATTTTACTTCAAGAAGAAGCCCAATTCACTTTAAGCTGCAAGATATCCAGAAGCCAAACATTCAAACCTATTTTAGAGAGAGAAAGGAAGAGACGCCTCAAAAACCCAACCTTCTTAG